TCGAGCGGGAGGCGGAGGAGACTGGGCGGCCGGTTCTCCTTCCCTCGAGACTTGGACTGGAACCTTTCGAGAGCCGCTGCTTGCCTGACAGAGTCGGGGACATTGGGACACGAGGAGAGGTGTCGGACCATTCTATCTATCTTGCCTGGCATATAAAATGAAGCTGTCTTGTCGGCCATGACTGTCCATATATGATAGAGTATCAGCAGAGTTTGTTTTAAAGAGATTACAGAGACATACCGCATGCCTCGGCATCTTCATAGCTCATCACTACTCCCGCAGATCCCGAGCTTTGACTAGTCACCCTCTGAAACTGTACAATTTCATTTGTACGGTGCTTGAGGCACGAATTGCACCATGCATCCCAGTGGACGGTGTCATTCTTGTAGTGCTGCGTGCCCTTCCGGAAGTATTCCCACCACTGAGAGACCGTCGGCATAGATCACTGATGATGGATAACGAGATGGGTTTCGCAGGGGAAGGTAACGCGCCGTAATCAACGTAACATTCAACTTCAACGAGACGCGCTTGCCCGGTCTCAGCTTCCGGGCGCGCAATGCACGTGACTATCTATGATATCATTACGGCCTCATATGGCAGGTACAAGTCATGTGCGGGTCACGCATTAACTCCTTAACTTTCGTCAAACCTGGGTTTAACGTGGGAAACTGGTCAAACCCGGTCCAGGAGGCAAGGGGTTCAGCCTTAACCGGCCCATCACTGTACACCTTCAGACTTTCTTCCTTCGTGATCACGCCAGTGCTTCGCTTCGCTTCACATCTCTTCACATCTACAGAGCTTCCACGGTGGTGTGCGCTTATTTTAGTGCTACACCGGTTCCATGACGTCAAGTCAGTCTGGAGTATAAGATGTCCTGTGTAACTTCTGAGAATTTACGAAGAATTAAAAACTTGTGGCATCCGTTATTCTTTGAATTAGTAACCGTCAATAGCAGCAGTACGACGAAATGGCGCTAGGGCTATTTGATTACATCCATTCTTGGGTCGACTGGGGTTTAGCCTGCAGCAAAATGGTATGTACTCGCCGAGTATATATTTCATAAAACTGACGTATTTGCCGATACACAGGTGCAAAATCGAGAAATTGGTTGGGTCACCAAGAACAGAAAGGTGCGTCTTACAGCAGCACTGTACTGAGTTCCGCGGTCAATCTGAGTGCTGCAACTAGACGGGTGCAATCATGAGGGAGAAACAACCATTAGCCAAGAAGATCAGACTACTCCTGCTCTTCAACCCACTCACAGAATGGAGTAAGTACAGACCAGTCTCTTCCTCGATGTTTCTGGTTGACCCCCAGTTAGTTGACGGAACCAAAGCGCTCCGATACTGGTTACACCATGAATCGCTCGAAGAAGGTACGCCGCTTAACTTCACAGAATAAGCCCCTTGAGAAGCTCACTGCGAATACCAGGTGATGAAATGCGAAAGCCCGAGACAAAGAAGAATATCCGGCCGTTCGTCGAGTTCTTCGAGATCGACATGTCGCAGTTCGAGCCATCGGACATCGACGCCTACCCGGTATGGTGCTCCTCCTGCGATCGACGTTTGCACGATCACTAACGCACCTAATCAGAATTTCCAAGAATTCTTCATCCGGAAGCACAAAGCAGGCGCCAGGCCGATCGCCGAACCCGACAATCCCGTACGTCTATCCTTTCCCTCGCTCAGTTCGTAGCCATCGTATACTAGCTGACCTTCCCAGTCCGTCGCTGTCGTCGCAGCTGACTGCCGCCTTGTCGTCTACCCCACAATCAGCCAAGCCACCGCGCTCTGGATCAAGGGCCGGCACTTCACCATCGCGAACCTCATCGCCGACCCCACCGGAGAGACCGCACGCACCTGGGACGGCGGTGCCATCGCGTCCTTCCGCCTGTCACCGCAGGACTACCACCGCTACCACGCTCCAGTGAACGGGAAGGTGAAGTGGTGGAAGGAGATCGACGGGCAGTATTACGGTGTCGACCCGTTGTGCGTGGGCAGCGATGTGGATATTCTGACGGAGAATGCGCGGTGTGCGGTTTGTTTTGAAAGTGAGCAGTTCGGAGATGTCTTATTCGTGGCGATTGGGGCCACGGATGTGGGGACGGTACAGTCCGTAGCTGTTATTCCAGCTCGAGAGGATAAGTGCTGACACGAGTGGATGTTAAGGCTAAACGAGTATGTGAAGACTGTCGGGCACCAGGTGAAGAAGGGCGATGAGGTGGGGTTGTTCGAGTTCGGTGGGTCGAGTATTGTCGTCGCGTTCGAGCGGGGGCGTATCGAGTTTGATGAGGACCTGGTCAAGGTTAGCGAGCAGAGAATGGAGATGGACGTGGAAGTGGGTATGAGTCTTGGGAGGTGGGTGAAGCAGTAAGGTCGGGACAGGCCCGGATAACATGATCAAGGACAGGTGACTTGGACAGCCTATGATATTCTTTGGATTATACAGAATGTATGTTACACACGAAAGTATTTGTTGTATTTTATTACCAAACGACGGAGAATGGAGCCTCTCAGTTTACGGCTGGTGTTTCAGAGGTAGACTTGCAGAGGCTCGACGCTTGCATGCAAACAACAAGTCAGGCACCCTGACCTATTACACAGTCCGGGGAATCACCTGTTCCGAATCCCTAGGTTAGAAAGCGGAACCTCTGTGTGTTGGTGGCCTGATGCACCAACGAACAGCGACTTCGAACCTAGCGCCACTCAGTGATTATGAAGGTTTAAAGATGGGGCGCCAGGAAGCTCTGAGGTCGTAGGAAGGACAGAGCCCAGTACATTCGACAGTTGAATGAACGCCCTAGCATGAAGCACACTCAGAATATTGGCAACAAGCGTGAGCCATTCCGTTGACCAACGGAACCGAGACCCCAGCTTTATTCGGGATCAGGTTCTATGCTCTCCTTCGTACCATCCCCCCTTGCCCGCCCTTTCCAAAATCCATAAAGCGAGAATCAGTACACGCTCCGAGCGACCCAAGATCGTGAGAGGCGCTAGGCACCGCAGAGTCGTCTAAGCAACCTCATCCGTTAGACCCGAAATGAGACCGCGGACGCCACGGGTGCGTGGTATCAAGCGGCAAGGCAGACTAGACGGCATCCTTCAGAATGGGTAAGCCTGAGCACGCTCGACTACCAAGTCATTTCGCACTCACGAGATTACTTCTGATGTCATACCCCTCGCCGTCCGCAAGTCCTTGGTATCGGCATCTTCATCCAGAATAGTGAATGTGGCTAGCAAGTGGGATGCTATGCTGTAGAAAGATGCCTCGCTGAACCAGCGGCCAGGACAGATACTAGGCAGAAAAAGAACAAAATGCGTGATCATGATGTCAGCTTGCAATCGCGCACGCCTTTGGACAATGACTTACCGCCGACCGAGCCCAAAGCTGGCCACTGGATCTTTACCCTTGAGATCCAGAGCAGCGTTGGTAATAAAACGCTCCGGTATAAACTCATCGGGCTCTGGGTATACAAGGGGATCGTGCAGTATGGACCTAGGTGAAGGCTGAGGATGAGCGTAGGCAGCATATGATGCATGCAACCTGACCGTGCATTGGCAAAAATCGTAGAACCGGCAGGAATGTGGTACCCCTTATATACGCCTTCGCACGAAGAGGTATGCGGCAATGCTTTAAGCCAAGCACATGAATTATTGCAGTCGGACAGCAGCGTGCACCGTGCGGCTCACCTAGTGGTACAGGAGGCCTCCACCGTAGAACCTCGGTCATGACAGCTTTGACATATGGAAGGTTCGTACGATCGTTGGAATCCGGGAGTCCGTTGTCTCCCGCTACGCGGTCCAGTTCTGCCTGAGCAGCCTTTTGCTTGTCGGGATACAGCATCATAGCCAGAAGGAAACTGTGAATTGCTGAGATTGTCTAAAACGGCATGAGAGACCGAAAGGAGAGAATCGCCTAGTCGTTACCGTATCCACCCCGGCTGTCGTGATGTCTACGTCAGACGCAATGAGATAAAGCAGTAATGCCTACCTATGTACACTGATGCCATGGCGTATTGTGCTGCAATATCCTCTTCCTGGGGTTCCTTTGCATCCTGAGACTTGACTAAAAGAGCGGCGAGTGCCGATGTTCCGCCTCGACCCTACAGCATTGCTGAGCGGACGTACCGGATACTCATCACGACAGGACCAGTTACCATCGATTCCTTCACGTACTCATACGGATCACGGAATGCAACCTGGACATCTTCTCTCCACTTTGCCATCTTCCTTCGGAAGCCGGCGAACGGGAACCACGCAGGAACGTATTTAACTTTCCACTGAATTAGCCAGCGGTCTCTCAGCGATGCATGAGAAAGATCATACGAAATGGGATCCGCTCGACTAAGAATGCTACAGGGACCAGAGCTTCCATGAAATGACGCGCTACTCTCTCGGCCGTGGAGAGGTACCTGTCATCCCACCCAGAGACACGAATACCGTAGGTCACCTCCATCATGGCAGCTCCAAGGGCCCTAAGACAAATTGCCTGAGTATATGGGTGCTGGTGAGACAGGTAAGTATCGGCAACAAACAGGCGAATATGGCTTTGGAAGTGGTCAGGATCCGCCAACAGTCGTTGTACCATCTTACGGCTTTCGCGGATCGTGACGGGTTGATATTTCTCCACCATGGACGGAGAGAACATCTGATGAAATGCCCTCCGTTGTCTGCGCCAATGTTCGCCGTAATGGCTGACTCCCATCACTCGGGGGAACTCCATCCTGTATGAGTACTGTATGTGAGATTTCTGAGTATACACGCCTCAGTCAACTTACAGTTCATTGATAACGACGCTGTGCGGACGGTCCGAGTATACGGACGCGTCTTTCTCGAACAGGTCCTGGGTAGCTTGTGAGGAGTTGAGAATAATAATTGTCCGACCCATGACATTCAGGGACAATATATCACCTGCATCGGAAGGATCAGTAGGTGGCTTCCTTGAGCACTCTGGGATGAAGATACCGTATTGCTTAGCCCAGCCATCATACACGAGCCACGGGTGTGCCTTTGGTACATCAAGGAGGTTGCCTACCAATGGCCATGTTTTGGGTCCCGGAGGCAGAGGCGACCTCCGGCTGTGGACTAGCCATTGGGTGAGCCAGAGTATCAAGGCGCATAGGCCGATGAGCAGAGCTGGAGAACTGTTCATTATCGATCACTGGCAGAAGCTCGCTATTTGCTCTCAAGCCAGAAGATGTACCGCTGGTGAAGTGTGCGCCGAAGTATCGCCCAACGGGAATGTGCACTCGGTGTAGAGAAAGGGCTTTTAGGTTTGAGAACTCCAAGTATACATACTTACATCCGATCGAGCCGGGGAAGGCATGAAATCACACGCGAAGCCAGAAACAAATAGTCACGAAGAAGGTGTACAGGCGAGGACTATTGCGACTGTCAACAAACTCCGGGTCTAGGTGGTGACTGTCCTCAGTTCGGCGACAATGGGATTGTTAACGGAAGCGTCTGTCCTCAGTTCGGTGACAGTGGGAGTATTAACGGAAGCGTCGGTGTTACCGAGTCCCGCTAAGCGCCCTGCACCCAATGACCAGGGACAGTAGACGACAGATCATATATCCCACCAGTAACACTCCTATAATCGTCGAAGGATAGAACTGCCAGACAAGGCCAGTCGTTCCGCTGAACGAGCATAAAGTGATGGGCGAGGTCGAAAACTTTGGCAAGAAAGCACTGGTGGCCACCCAAAATGTCGCCGCTGTTCCACTGCCTGCTGCGTATCGGAGAGGCGAGAAGTATCACCACCTCGCCGTTACGACAGGAAACACAAAGCGGCAGGAGATGGGCTACAGTTGAGATCCAGAGAGAATCGTCGAGCTGACAATCAATAAGAAATGGGCAGTCTACATCCAATCTCGGATGATCATGAAGTGGTCCTGTAAGAGCGGCAAGAACACAAGTCTCAAAGAAGTTGAAAGAACAACAAACTTACCCTGGGTTATTCATGTGCCAAATTTCTCACGACTTCCGCCCCAATCAAGCAATTGTCGAAAAATCCCTATTCCTAACTTCTCTCCTAGACGGCAGTGCCCAGTATTCCTTCGCTATGGATGTGCGCGACGCAGAGTCTGGACGACCTGTAAAGCGGTTCAAGGTAAGGTGTTGCATTCTGTATGGGAATGGAAGACGCACGCTTAAATCTCTCTCCTAGCATCAATCTTACAACGAGACGTTAAAAGATGTGCATCTTCCCTCAGCTCTGAACCAGGCAAAGTTTGACAATGAAATCCCTGTAAGTCAACTGGTACAACCGTTTGAAACATCTGTTTTAACCATTTCAAACCTAGGATGGCTCATCACACTTCCATGAGGCGTTGGACCATTGGAGACAACTCAACCTTTCCCCCGCTTTCCTTGTCTTTGCCAACAAGGCTGATGGACTGTCAGCTTCGATGCCGCTGCTGCTCCACCATTGGAAGGACATTCTCAACCTCTGGGCTACGGCAGTTGAGGAGTCGGATTACGAGGGCTTGATTGCGCTTGCAGAGTACGTCTCCATATATTTCTTACTACGTCCGATTCGGAACTGACTGTGTACTATCAGCTTGTTGCAGAAGCTGGCGCACGACTTGCGAACGACTATTCTGCCAGTCTACCTCGACCTCCTTTCCCGACTTTACAGTTACCTCCCTCGAAAGATTCCCGCTCCGACCCTCACAGCTCTCTTGTCGGCTCTATCAGCGCTCTTCAAATACCTCTTAATACCTTCCGCAGATGCTGGCTTACTAGACCAGTCGTGGTCATCCCTGAGGGACGTACTCCCAAAATGCAATCCAGAAGTTCAGCGGGCCGTCGCGGAAGTCTGGGGCGCAACACTGAGGAGGCTGAAGTCAGCCGTGCGAGAGAGGGCAGTGGAGTTAATTGCGGAGGACGTGGATGGCCTCGAAGATGCATGCGCTTGGATGGTGGTCTTCGCCTGCGAGGTGCGTGGCTGATCCTGCATGGAAATGATTGCAGCCTTGACAGCTCCTTCGCACAGTCTGTTTCCCAGACCCTACACACCGCGACGGCGTCCATAGTGACTCCCCTGCTGAAGCACCATCTTGCGTGCGCCGAGCCCGAAAAGACGTACACGCTGCTACGCCGCCTGTTAACGGCTCTGATCCACCACTGTAAGGGTCCGGAGCAATTTTCCGCGGTTGCAGACGCTCTTCTGGACCAGGTCGCTGCTTTGGTGCAGGGCCTTGTGGATGAGAAGGACCACGAGCCCCTGCGGCGCATGCTGGAAGTTCTTGCTGTCGTCTGTTCAGTCCGGCAGGGCTCTAGACTATCCCGTACGTCCACGCATGCGATTCACTGATAATTACTAGCTAACAGTGGAATCAGAAAAACAAATCAGCATAATTCTCTCTCACGTCGCGGCTATCCCCCTCACGGAGTCCCTTCAAGCCTCCCTGCTGAAACTAACCGTCGCTGCTCTCATTGCGGGGGAACTCTCCTTGTCTCTGGGGCCCGGCCGGAAAGTTGTCGAGCAGTCTCTTCAGCACCCGCCGTTCGCTCTCCAGCTGTACGGATCGCTAGCAGAACTGCAATGGGGTGGATGGAAATTGATTGCTCTACCGAACTTGCTCAAGGCCGCCCCAGACCTGCTGCACAAGGAACCCAGGAGAACGGCCGAGCTATTGGCAACGTTATATAAGAAGGGTATGCTTGGCGAGGTGGATGCGGGGTTCAAGGTGAAGTTCGGGGAGTGGGCAAGGGCGAAGCTTAGTAGTTGGCAGAAGTCGGAGGAACAGGTAATGTCTATTTGTACCCAACCTCATCCAGTTGACTGACTGGTTTGCGTGTTTAGGTGTTCGAGCTGGCCAGTATCTTGGCCTTGTCGGGGATGATAGAAAACATGACCGAGCTGCTCGTTCGACTGATTGAGGACACACTAGCCGTCCAGGATCCGGTGGCTGATTACGAGGCGTCGTATACCAACAGTTCTTGGGTTCTCGCGTCGTGCATGGAAGCTCTGTCGAAGTGTAGACACTCGGAATGGCATCAGCGAGTTGATTTGACTCTCTGGACGGAGAACGTTGTCCAGCGATGGGGTTGGTCGGAGGGGGTCCTGGGGGGGATGGTTTCGCTCATTGACGCTGGGTGCGCTCCTTTTAATTGCGTTTGAACATACCTTTTTTTAAAACACATTTACTGTCTCAGGCCGACACCCGCGCGACAGCTCGCGTTCGAGAGTACCTACTCCACCATGAAGGATGCCTTGCTGTCCCATGTCCGGGCGCTCAGATTGAGTGCTCTCCGGTTGTTGACGTCCCGGATAGTGCAGACGCCGGAGAGTATGGCAGACACAATGAAACGGTGTCTTCAGGCAGAGGAAGTGCCGTTGGATGTTCGCGGCGTACGTGAGAGGACAGTGAAGGTCACTCGGATGCCGCTTACCATCAAGGATGAGAGTAGTGCAGAGGTAGCATCGCGATGGCTCCTGGGTAATTTCTTCTGTCGACTCAGTTGTCGTGTGTGGTGTTGACTGAGGTCTTCATTCATATAGCACAGTTCAAGGTTAATCTTCGACCCCTCTGGGCGCCCACTTCAGAAGCCGTGGTTGCACTGTCGCAGAGGTTTGGTGACCTTGTTTGGAACCTCGTATTCGGCCAGCTACAGAAGGTCTCACGCGGTGAGATTGATGCGCATCCACCGTCCTGGGTTCAAGAGGAAATGGATGGTGAGGGCGAGGACGACATTTGGGAAGACGAGAAGTCCTGGAGGGATCCGAGCGCTCACAAAGTCCGGACCACCTTGAATCGATGGCAGAAGGCTAACATAACAGCTGCAGAGATCTTCGGGGTAAGCATTGATCAGCGGCGTGATTGGTTTAATCTCAAGAGTTCCTCTGCTTAGAAGCAGAAATCTGGCGACCGACTCGATACCATGATGTATGAAACGCGAGTATTGCATACCCTGGGCGAATGCGCGAGCCTAGCGGAGAAACATAATCGGGATATTATTTCCTTCTTCCTTTCTCTCACCGCCCCAGACTCTCCAGCAAAGTTGCCGCGACCTAGACTCAACGCATGGTTAACCTTGTTCTCTAAATTCGTGAATCCAAAGGCTTTATATGCTTCGGAGAAATTGCACGCTCTCTACATATCACTTCTCTCACATCCTGATAGATCCCTGCAGCGCCTCGCCTTGTCCTGCCTGTTGACATACAAGTCAGCCAGTCTTCTGACTCATGAAGATACCCTTCGAGGTCTGCTGGACGACACTCGGTGGAGAGATCAACTTACGATGCTAGACATGTCCGAGATCGAAGAGAAGGATAGGCCGGAGCTCGTCAGTGTTATCATCCGCATCTTATTCGGCATCATGCTGGAGAAGCGAGGTCGTTCCCGGGGTGCTGATCGACGCGGAACCATCTTGACGACTCTTGCAGGCTGTACTGATGAAGAATTGTCCATTCTTGTGGATCTCATGGTGGACCCTCTGCAGCTGAATGCGACAATTGGATCTGACGGTGACTTTACGCTCAGCCCTGTCTCCACGGAAGTGTCAACTACACAACAACTCGGTTTCCTGACTCTGCTTGGCGACGTCCTCAGGAATCTTGGGTCCAGACTAATCGCGCGTTGGCCTGTCCTACTGGGTGCGACTATCAGTCTTACGGCCCATGCACAACGGTCTCTTGATACATCTAAGGACAACCTCCAGCAAGCAGAGGAGGCGAGCCAAGTATCAGAGCCGGATGACGTAGACCCGAATTCACCCTTGAAGAGCCTACGGAGCACTCGACAACTAGGGCTGAAGCGGCTCGCTGATTTTGCCAGAGTACCTGTCCAGTTTGACTTCTCGCCCTACTTGACGAAATCCTTCCCTACGATCATTTCTCCCCGTATGGACCATTTCGAAACGGAGAATACGCAGGCCCCATCCGCTTTACTCGAACTGTTCTATGCTTGGGCTTGTCGCACAGAATACATCTCGATACTTGTCAGTTATGACGAACGAATCTTGCCGAAAATTTACGACTGTCTTGTCGCTGCCAGCGTGAAACCCGCAGTGGTGTCACGGATCTTTGACATCATTGAGCATACCCTTCAGTTCTGCCCAGGACAGGCATCGTTACAAGCTGCTTTTGTTCGCCATGTCTCTCTGCTACTGACGAATCTCACTTTGCTGGTTGAGCGGGCGAAAGATATCGTTGCTGTGACTAGTGCGCTTGGACAGCGACAAATCGCGATTCTTTGTCAAATCGTTTACTACGTCAACGACAGTAGCCAGGCAGAAACTCTGCTCAAATTGTTCTTGCCCATCCTACGAAAGCCCTCGAAGGTGGTCCCGGAAAAGATTAAGATCGATGTGCTCAAGATCGTGGAACAAATCCTACCCCTCGCAATAGGTACAAAGGAACTGGGAAGTACGATATATGTGCAAAGTTACGATGTTCTCTCTGCACTATTCCAGACCCTGCGGCTGCGGGCGTCGCGTTTGGGACTTGTCGCTGCGTTCCGCAAGCTAGCTGCAATCGATCTTTCTCTAAGACCTCTGGTTGACCTCATGGACTCTTTGAACGCCTTCTCGCAGAAGCGTATGGACGAGCCTGATTTCGATCGCCGTTTGAGTGCTTTCACCACACTCAATGAGCAATCCTACAGCTCTCTGACTGCCCGACAATGGGTCCCGATCTTGTATAACATGTTATACTTCATCCAGGATCCAGAAGAGCTTGCTGTCCGACATAGCGCCTCCCTTGGTATCAGGCGTTTCATTGACATCGCGACAGAGCGAGAGGAGTGCGAATATCAACATATCTTTCTGCGCAACCTCTACCCTGCTCTTCGGAATGGTCTTCGCACGAAGTATGAAATGGTCCGCGCCGAGGTACTTGCTGTGGTTGCATATGCGGTCACGCGGTGCGACTTTGCAGAACCTCTGCGGGAGTTGCGTGTCTTATGTGCCGACGGCGACGAGGAAGCAAACTTCTTCAATAATATCTTCCATGTTCAAATCCATCGACGAACTCGAGCTCTTCGACGATTGGCGGATGCCTGTGATCATGGCCTATTAAAAAGTCGTACCGTCAACGAAGTACTCATCCCCCTTGTGGGCCATTTCGTCACGTCTCCTGCCTCGCTTGACCACCACCTAGTCAACGAGGCAGTCTTGACGACTGGTCATATGGCAAAATGCCTCGCATGGAGTGCGTACTACGCTCTAGTGCAACAGTACATCCGCCTGTGTCAGAAGAGGGATGACGCCGAGCGGGTGTACGTGCGCGCACTTGTGGCGATCCTGGATAATTTCCATTTCCAGATGGGTGATTCAGTTTCGGAAGAGGAGAAGACGGATGACGCAGATGATGGCGAAGTCGGCGCACAGACTCAAACACCCAGCGCATCTCGTGTGGAACAGCTGGTGACCGGACGGCTCTTGCCCAGTCTCCTGAGCCACCTGGAAAAGCGCGATGAAACTGAAGATTCATTGAGAGTTCCCATCGCCGTTGGTATCGTTCAAGTCGCTAATCATCTGCCTGTCAAGGCTCGCGAAGTCCAGGTAGCACGATTGCTGACAATCGTCAGTCAAGCCTTGCGTAGCAGATCTCAAGAGACGAGAGATCTCGTTCGCGAGACACTCTGTCGTATCGCCGTGGTTTTGGGTCCCGAATACCTGCCCTTGATCCTTCGGGAGCTACGAGCAGCCTTACAACGTGGCCCCCACCTGCACGTCCTTGCATTCGTAACCCATGCCCTTCTAGTCCACGTTACCAACGGGGAACATTCTGGCCGGTTTGAAACATTGGATGGATGTGTTGATGATGCGGCGCACGTCTCAGCGGAGGTCATCTTCGGGCAGTCTGGTAGGGACGTCCAAGCAGAGGAATTCAAGACGAAAATGCGGGAGGTGCGGTCATCTGCCTCGAAAGGTCTTGATTCCTTTGCGATAATGGCGAAATTCATCACGCCTGCAAAAATAAGTCGGTTGCTGAACCCGGTGAAAGCGGTCATGCATGAAACGGAGTCTTTGAAGGTCATGCAGCAAGTTGACGACTTGCTGCGACGGATTGCCAGCGGGTTAAATGCCAATAGACATCTCGTTCCAACGGAGCTTCTCGTTTTATGCCATACTTTCATAAGCCAGAATGCCCGATTTCTGCAAGCGAATCCTAAGGAAGCCAGAAGTAGGGGTAGAGGAAAGGGGAAGGAGAAGGAGAAAGCAGCCGGTCAGCTGAAGAGAGCAGCTCCGGCGGAGTCAGATCACTACGCCCACAATTCCTTCCGGTATGTTCTGCCTTTCCATGAGACTCGCTATAGCCATTGACACATACATTTGCTAGTTTTGTTGCATTTGGTCTCGAATTGTTCAGTACGGCATTCAGGCGAAGTCGGTTCGACTTCCAGGACAAGACCATCATCGCTCGTTTGGAGCCAATGGTCTCTGTCATCGGCAATACGTTGTATTCCACCAACGCCCACGTCACGTCGTTGGGTCTGAAGGCGTCTGCAGCAATAGTCAAGTGCCCCTTGCAATCGATCGACAAGACCTTGCCGGTCTTCGTACGCCGCTCAATTGAAATTATCAGGGAGACAGGCACTACAGCATCGGACCTTGTCCAGACCGCGCTGAAGTCTCTCGCGACTATCCTACGAGATTGTCCGAAGGCCGAGGTCAAGGAGAAGGACTTGACATTCCTGCTCGAGCTCTTACAGCCCGACTTAGAAGAACCTAGCCGACAACCAGCAGTCTTCGCCATGCTGCGTGCTATTGTCGCTCGAAAGTTCGTGGTACCAGAGATCTACGACGCTATGGATAAGGTATCCGAGATCATGGTGACCAGCCAGTCCGCTCAAGTTCAGGAACTATGCCGCGGTGTGCTCCTGCAATTCCTACTCGACTACCCTCAAGGCAAAGGTCGCCTCCGGAATTCGATGACGTTCTTCGCCAGGAACCTGTCGTACGTCCACGAAAGCGGGCGCAAGTCAGTCATGGAATTGCTTAGCGCTGTGATTGCTAAATTCGACGTCAATCTTGCTCGGGAGTACGCCGACTTGCTCTTCGTCGCATTAGTCATGGTCATCGCGAATGACGACTCCGCTAAATGTCGGGAGATGGCAGCTGAGCTAATCAAGAGTCTTTTCGTGCGGTTGAACATCGAGCATCGACGGCTGCTGGCCTCGCATCTGCATTCATGGGCTTCGCAAACTGACAGACCTGTTCTTGCGCGTGTGTCCTCGCAAGTGTATGGCCTCATGCTGGACGCTCTACACCAAGAAGCGGATCCATTCTTACCCACAATACTGGAGGATTTGGGGGCCGCACTACGCCGTAGTGCTGATCGTGAAGAGATGGATGAGGTGGAGCAAGGTGACAATATCAAGCTTGAGTGGCAGGCGCCATATCAAGCCCTCATTGTCTCGGGGAAAGTTCTAAGGGAATTCCCCGCCCTCACCCGGCAGGACGAGAAAGTTCAATGGCCGACCGTCGTCTCACATCTGTTGTATCCTCACTCTTGGGTGAGGCTTGCGTCGTGTCGGTTGCTGGGGACTCTTTTCGCTGCTGTTCCAGTAGATTCTCCTTCTCCAGAGCTTCCAGCAGATCACCCACTGTCGACTGTGGGCATGGAGGAGGCAGCCAAGAGGCTCTGCACTCAGCTCAAGAGCCAGCATCTCGACGAAGCGCTGAGTCTGCAGGTCGTCAAGAACCTATTCTACATTGGAAAATGCTTCGCTGCCATCCCCTCGCAGGATCGTCCAACGTCTCATGAAGAGGCCGGTTCCAAGGCTGAGGCCGAAGATGACTCTGACGGAGAAGACTCGGCAGACACGGCTCCGCAGAAGGGGAAGCATCCTCTGCCATGGCTATTCTCGAGGTTGTCATACCAAGCAAGGTCTGCACATATAGCTCGGAGGAACAAGTCCCGCACCAGTGTACGTAATACTATGCCTTGTCTTCCGTGTACAATCACTTGACCTGGACTGTTATTCAGGAGAACTGGTTCCATCAACCGGTCTCTGTGTTCAAGTGGTTTGCGGCGATGTCGTCGTTTTTGCCCAAGGAGCGGCTAGAGCAATTCCTGGTGCATATTCTGACACCCGTCTACCGTATCGTCGAGGATGAAACCATTCGAGATCCTCATATGGGTACGTTCACGCATGTGTAAATCATCTCTAGCTAAGATAGCTTATCCTCTTTCTCTAGAAGAATTAAAGACGCTGGCTATTGAATTGCAAGACTTAGTGCGGGACAAAGTTGGCACGACTGCCTTCGCCAATACGTACAACAAAATCAGGCAGGGAGTCCTGGAAGTACGCAGGGAACGGAAGACAGCCAGAGCGATGCTGGTACGTTACTTGCGCTTGCCTATCTTTCTGGGTGGCTCACTCCCTTGTCACGTGTAGGTAGCCACGAATCCTGAGGCTGCTGCGAAGCGGAAGCAGGGTCGGAATATGAACAAGAAGGAGAGTAGGAAGAGAAAGAATGCTAGCTTTGCGTACGTTCTTTCAATGTTCTCCCACGTATCCGCAGGCCTGACCTTCATGGCTTGATAGGGATAGCAAGGGGCGTCTCTCGTCCAAAAAGCGCAGGGAACACTATTGATATTTTCTTTCTCTGTTCTCTTCCTGCCGTATCTACATGCTGTGTTTTTGTTGTTTCATCTCCATTCAGGTGGGGACCGATCTAGAGTTGTTTTCATGCGTTTATGACGGGGCGCTTGGGCTCCACTGCCACACAGAGCAGTCGTCAGTGTGACTTCCGATTGACCTATAGGGCGTTCAGAAAGCAAATCGACCTCGACTACCAACACGATCGGTTGTCATCCCATCAGCACTCTTATCTGCGTCGGACGGATGTCATTTCCTGGTCATTGATCTTGCCGACGTGAAGAAGAGAGAATGATCCGCTTCGATCACATCGGCGCGTCAAAAACGCCGACGAGGCTTAGTATGTACATTGTACAAGGGTGGGAGAAGTGATAAAACAATGACTAACCGATATACCTACAAGAGAGCGACGGGACATCTAATAGTACGGGTGTGGCACAACAGAATACATGAAAGCGAACAACAGCGGCGGTAAGTCAGTAAAAGGACGGTATGTAGGTACGATGTACTAGATAGAAAGTCCTGAGATGCTGCAATGAAATTAAATATTGTCCTTCCGGATCCGAGTGGCATATACGGGTAGTTTTGGTGGGCGGGGTGGAAGCAAGATGGCGTGTAGACTGTAGGTGTGGTCGGTCGTAGCGTGTGTGAATTTCGTCTTTTAGCGTTCAACACCGTCAGCAAATGCAAACGCGAGCGCGCAAAAGCAAGCCGATGCACCCACCATCATACAACTCATCGTCTCCGCTCGGGCGCAGCTGTGACCAGAGGTTCCGGCACCGCCCTCTTCGCCGCCTGACCTGTACACACGGGCGGCAACGACGCGGGCCCCCACGCATCCGGGTACTCGCAGCCACTGATCTCCGTCGCCGCGCTCGCCGTATCGCTCGGATCCGCCCACGCAAGGCTGCTCACCGTCCTGCTCGCCTTGCCCGAGATGCTCGGATTCGTGAGCGTCTCGACGACGCCCGTCGCGGTGTACTGCGGGAGCTCCGTCACGGGCACGCTCGCGCCGCTGATGCTCGCGGGCGGCCACTGCGAGTACGACGCGGACACGGTCGGGTCGATGGTGCCCGCGCCCGCGCCGCCCGTCTGCCAGGACTGGTATGACCCGTTGAACTGCACGGGGGCCTGCACGCCGAGCGCGCCGCACTTGCCGATGGATTGGCGCGGGTCCTTGGGGATCCAGCCGTTGTCGAGGCCGAGTTTGTACGACCAGAGAGGGCACTGGACGGTGTTGGTCGTCGAGGAGTTGCCGATCTGTGTAAGCATTAAGTATAATATACACGCTAGAGGGGAGAGGTGGACGCGCCTTCCACGTCCAAAAGAACCAGTTCTGCAGTGCGTCCATGCTGGCGAGGGTGAACTGCATGAGACCAGCCTTGACGGTCTCGTTCCACTGTGACGAGTCCATCCAGAAGGGGCAATAGTCCGGCGTGTTCTCGTTCACGCCCTGCAGGAACAGGCCGCACGGGTTGAAGCCCGCGCTGAACTCTCCCGCGATGGTCACGCCAAAGTCGAGTTGACTACGTCACCGTCAGCTCAACAGCACATCCTATGAGCTGAAGCGCGCACCTCTGGTTCTGTCCAATCCCCCACGAGAGACACGCTTGCTTAGGCCACGTCCCGCCGTAATTGTCGCCGTCGCCGTCAGGTACCGCGATCGGCACGTCCTGCATCCCGCCGAACGCAAAATACGGGTGCGTGTCGAGAATGAAGCGGTCCGCGCCGGGCAAAAAGTCCTTCCAGATGCCCAAGCCCTGGAACCCGTCGTGGATGCTGATATACGGGCCGTGGCCCTCGCCAATCCCCGTGACCGCGCGGATGCGGTCGTACGCCTGCAGATAGAACCGCGTGAGCTGGTCCTGGCCGATGATGCCCAGCAGCGGCTCGTTGATGATGCCGAAGATGGGCACGACGTTCTGGTACTCGGGCTGCGCGATGAACTCGGCGAGGATGCGGATGTAGTCGAGCGTGCGCTCCGCGTTCGCGACGCCCATGATGCCGTTGAGGAAGTTGATCGAGCCGAGCTTGCCCGAGTGGTTGTACCCGTTCTGCGAGCCCGGGATCGTGTGCAGGTCCAGGTTGACGCGCAGGCCGTACTTGCGCGCCCAGCCGAGCGCGCGCAGGATGTACTTCCACGAGACCTTGGCGAGGAACGGCTCGTTGTCCCAGACGTCGATCGCCCAGAAGGGGATCGGGATGCGCACCCAGTTGAGGCCCGCGCCGGCGATTTCGGCAAAGTCTTGTTCAGTCTGGGGCATAATAAGTTAGTGACACATTGGAACAGCCTTGAGAGGGGGGAAACGGAAAGAAAGAATCCTAAATATCTACTGGAGGCAGCAGAATGAGCAAATTTGCTCTCTCAAATGGCTGTCCGAACAGGAGGATTTGTCGATGACGGAACGCGGTCTTCGCGTCCATCATATTCTTCGCTTAACTTTCGTGAAGCAGTAAGTGCGATTCCCCGTCGAGACGCGACGTGCCCACGCAACCACAGCTACCGCTGACACGATGACAGCATTGAGCGGTGACTCAGCTAGCCTGCAAAGCGTGCGGCTGCATGTCCAATCCGGAGCGCGGGTGCGGGTACGAGTATGTCCTCGAGGTCCAAGTCCAAGGACATATCCGTGCCAATCCCCGGCTCGACATTCGTGCCCCCGTCGTAGAGCACAGAGGGCACGACAGTTCGTTTTTCCCTCCGGCTGCAATCAGCGGCTCAAAGAGGGCAGCCGCGCGGTGCATCAAGGGTTGTTCAACGGCCCACCGAAGTGAAATGCACAAACAAGAAATGACTCGGAAATGGAATGAAACCACGAACAAAGGCAGCATTCAACTATGCTGGCCCGCAAAGCGCGCCGCTGAATAGCCTCTCGAAGCACAACCTGTCAACGCCACTTTGCGAGGGGATCAAGGCACGGGTACGTCCTCGGGGTCCGAGGACGTATCCGTGTCATTCCCCTTGCTTCGAGGTTCGTTTCCGACGCATGTTTAACGTCCCACCCAAATAAAAGGTGCGAAATAACGCGAAAGAAGATACAAGGATGAGTGTTAGACTCACGATAAAGGTGTTGTAGTGGTCCTCGAGCTGCTGCAGCCCGCCGCTGGCGGTATCGTTGGCCATGGCCTCGCTGAGCGTCCACTCGTCGACCGTCCCATTATACTTTTGGAAGAACGAGGGCATGATGAAGGGCTCGATCACGAACCACCCGCCAAGGTTGACACTGATTGCGTTTGATATTAATGAAATCATTCTCGAGCGAAAGCGGAAGGATGTGCGCACCCGAATACGCGGTTGGTGCCCCAGTCCCAGGTGGTATTGAGCGGGGGCGTCCATTCGTTGCATTGTGCGTTGTCGTTGAATGGGTCGTTGGGATCCTGCACCCCTGCATAGTCGCCCACGTGGTTAGTAAGTACGCTCGGGGCAGATCAATAGAGGAAGGCGAGTAATGCAGCGACTATTCGGGAGCCGAGCGTATAAAAGGGATCGACGCTCCTTCAACTCTCCCTCCCCCTCCTCCTTCCTCTCACCACCATGAAACAAAAAACAAACACAACAAACACTCACAGAAGCCGCCAAAGGGATTTATGTAGGTAAACTTGGATCCGTTCTCCATAATCACCTCCGACCCATTCCCGCCGGTCGTCGCGCCCGTCGGGCTCTGCGGGTTGGCGCCACCGCCGCCACTACTGCTCCCGCCACCAACAACCCCGTCCTTCTTCCCGACCGTAAACACCACGGGGAGCACCACGACGAGCACGACCGCGACGAACGCCGCGCCGCCCACGAGCCACCACAGCGGGCGTTTATACCACGGCCGTCTTGCATTGCTGCTTGAATATACGCCAGGCAAGTCGGGCGAGCTGCCGCCGCGCTCCCCGGCGGAGAGCAGCGGCGCGTTCTGCGTCGGCGTCGAGGCGTACGAGTCGCGCGGCGTGGGCGGGCCGGGCGTCGGGCTGCCCGGCTCGCTCGCGCCCAGGAACGGCGCCGACGGCGGCGCGAGCTGGGACATCTCCGGGTCCGTGTGCGACATGGCTGCTGGAGGGAGGGGGAGGGAGGGCGTGCGCGAACGCTCGCTGATGAACAACAGTATATATAAGTGCGCTAGCCCAGCCCAGAGATAAGGCGAGCCTGCCGGCTTCGCTTGGCCTGCCTCTAGGACTCGCCGCCCAAGAATAGAAGCCACCAGCCGCGATCCTCTCACGCGGGCTCAGTCCCTCCTGCAGTCGTTAGTCCTCCTGCCGTTCGCTCTGCACTTTGCCCTTCGCGTTCGATTCAATTCAATGCTCTGCTTAGCTGACACACGACTAGACGCTGGCGCTCTAAGAAGCTAGTCCCGATACGCAGAACGCCCTGTCTCAGCAGATTTCCCCGCCCCATCGAGCAACACGCCCGGATACCTCCGTCGGTATAAGCTTTGCTCAGAAGATGCCCCATCGCCACAGGTCCGTCTTGTGTTACCACTCGCAGATGTCTGTCCGTCCATCTGCCTGTGGCGTTGCCTTTCGGAACGGAAGCATTCCTTGAACTCAGGAGTCATTGACAATGACAGGCTCAGTTTGCTTCCGTACGTTGGTGCACTACAGATAAACCCACCGAAACAGAAATAGATCCAGACACAGAGGCCATGGTTAGGGCACAGGGGTATGTACTCTCAAAATATCAAAACACAGTACAGCAATGAACGTGTGCATCCAGACAAACCGTGCCAATCGGCGAAGAAACAAGCGAGCCATGCGTCCGACAGAACTGAATCATAAAACTCCCTGCCTAATCAGAGACCTCTCACGCCTCCGCATTTCCCCAAAGTTCCTCCGTAGCTTACACCCACACACCCTTGACCTCACCCTCAGCTAACGGTAAAGTTCCCCGACGTCCCCTCAAACGGCGTAATCGCCCCGGAGAGCGCCTTCGCGTCGCCGTAGTACTTCAGGCGGTACGTCCCAGCTAAACATCCCAATCCCAATCAGCCCTCTACACTCCGTAATAAAAGTGAAAGAATAAACAATGCAGCACTCACTCGGCGTGCCGCTCTCGATCGTCCTAGCAAGCCGGCGGTAGTTAGTCAGACTGACAGATGGCATCAACTGTAACAGCTCCACGCACCACGACACATTAACCGTGCTTGTCCCTAATAGCTAGATATACGGCCCTTGCCTCAGCACCCAACACTTCCACCTGACATAATAACAACCACCGCTCACCGTGCTCGTCCGCGCCCACTGGTACGTCGTCGACGGGTGCGAGTCTGTCCGGTATGTTGCCCATGCCCCGTCGCTCAGGTGATCCACAGTCAAGAACGACCCCTCCAATCTCAAGTTGTTCTACATTACCAGTCACCTTCCACTTCCACGCACGCGAGCTTGGGATGAGTATGTACGCACCCTCGGGTTCGCGCCGACAAACTGTGCGTACACAGTCTGCCCCGCCGAATAACTACTCTCCACATCCTTCAGCACGTCGCCGAAATGCTTCCCCAGCGGCGGGTTGTCCACGATCACCGGCGTCTAGCCACCAACATCATCAGCCTTGCCGAGGGCGAAGTATTGAGTGAACGAGGTATGCGCACCTGGAGCGAAATCGCCTCCCCGCTCAAGTCCGGTGGGGCGTCGTCCGAAGGCGGGTCCCCCAGCGAGCTATTATCCCCTAGGTACGGCACCAGCGAGCTGTACTTGTCGATGTACGCCTCCAGCGTGACTGCACCCGCACATCAGAACACCATCCCACGTAGGAGAAGCGAGTAGAAGGGAAGGAAACGCACAAGGTCCAAAGAGCGTCGATGCGCCCTCGTACCGCTGCACGCTGTACTCCTCTCTTGTCGCCACGTAATGCCCGTACGTGTTTGCCGGCCCCGCGATCACCACGTACGCGTCGTCCCCAACCACGCCGCTCGAGATGAGCTTCGCCCGGATGGCTTCGCTGTTCCATGCCAGTCAGTCAGTTAGTACGGCATTCAGGGTTTCAGGGTAGCACAGATAAGAACAGGGAACAAGGACGAAGGAAAGAAGTCGAAGGTAGGATACGTCAGGGTGCCGAAGGTAATAGAACCCAGAGAGATTCGACGGAGCCGAAATGCGAAACGCTCACCGCATCCGCCGTCCAGACATCGTCGTCAGCTCGCCAGGCATAACACAAATAACGAAGTTCCCAATTTTGAGCATCTGGATATCGACGATATGCGGTGACCAAGGGTACGGCGTGTTCGCGTAGCCCTAGAGTCGGAGGGAACGTCAAGTGAGTGTACGGAAGGAAACAGGGCACGTGAAGGTCTCACAGTGTCCAGGAGGATCGGCTTGGGATAGTGGCACGCTGCCTGCTCGGCCGGGGGATACGGGGTGATAGCGCCTTTCACGATCTCCCAGAAGGGATTCCTGCAATCGAGTCCACCCGTCATCAGTCCAGGCCCGCTGTCTCTTACTGTAAACTGAATACGCACTGCGGCTGCGACGAGTTGTCTCCCTGAATAAAGTCAAAGGCACCAGGTCCATCTCTGCGGCATGACTTCGATTACAGCTCGTCAAACACCTAGCAAGCCTGGAAGCTTACGTCGTTCCGCCAGCAAAGCCGTATCCTATCAAGAATAAGTCAAGACGCCATCCATCGTGGTGAGTCCGACGCCCAAGACTCACCTAGAGCAGGCGGGCACGTCTGTGCCGTCGACCCGTTCGCCAACGTGAAGCTATGATACGACCTGCGCATGGAGCAGGCCGGTTAATTCTCCCTCACCTAGCCGGCGAGAAACAAGGAAGCCCGAGTTGTTGTACTAACATATTCAAGTACACATGCACGCTCTTCACGCTCCCGCTGACTTCGGGGAGGCTGGAGCCCTGGCTCATGATGGTACTCGCGCCGTCAACTTGTAATTGAGCGATGATCCGGTTCGACTCGAAGTCCGAGATGCGGAAGCCGGGGCCGCTGGTAGTGAGCAGTTACGAGGAAAGTGGGGGATAGGGCCACGTGAGAAATGGAGAGTGAATCAGAGAGTGTAGCAGCGAGAGTCGGGAAGCATCAGGAATATTGGTGTACCGGAGGGGCGAGAGGATTGCCGAAGTGGGATAGAGCAGGCAAAGGACAGGCGATTGTCACGACCGAAGGTGATGATGGTCTCGTCAGGATCCATTCAATCTGCACGAGAGAAACCCCTCGTACCGGCCATGACAATCCTCGGTCTTATTGCCACAAGTCGAATGCTCCGCCTCGCAAGGCTGGCCGTCCCATGGCTGCCCAGGGCTCTCGCAGTACGCACCAAGTCTGCAAGCAAAGGCAGCGCGTAAGCGCAGTCTGATAATAGATCACGGCCTCTTGGTCAACTCGTACGTACGTGTTGGGGCTCGTGTCACCCACATTGGCTGAGGGAATATGTCAGTTAGTCACTCATGACAAAGGCAGAAAGGATTTAATGAGATTTCAGGATACATACATTGAGTGAACCCAGCGACGAACGTAGTATTGCCAGGCATCGAGTTCGGCTCGACCATGTCTGGTTAAGGGATCATTTCATGAGGCAAGGGACCACGATACCGTGCACTGCCGACTCACTCTCGTACAAGAACGCCGCCATACCCTTATTATCCCCACTCACGAGCGTGTTATTCTTCCAATCCAAGTCAACAACCCCTCTCCACCCGCAAACCAACGACCCCCATACTCACCTCGTACAAGCTCGTCCCATGCACTGCATAAAACGACAAAAAGCCCCTCGCATTCCCGTTCTCATCCTCGAACCTCACCAAGCTCAAATCCTTATCCTGGTCATACTGATACATTGCCCGCTCCTCCGCGGGGTTCGCCAGGTACGCCGTCGGGCTGCGGTTCCGATTCCCATCGACCACGGTCGTGTTCCCGTACCGCAGCCTCCCCGGCGCGAGGCTCGCGTGCGCTCGCCGCACGGCGAGCACGGTCCCGTTGACGATCGCGTCCGCGGTCTCCTTGACGTACCCGAGAGCGGTGATCTGCGGGAGGAGGTTTTCGAGGTAGCCGCCGACGCCCGAGTGCTGATGCGTGCTGCCGAGCGCGACGTTCGCCGCGGAGTAGACGCCGGGGAACTCGGAGGACAATGCGTTGATGACGGAGCGGCGCACGCCGGTGTCGCCCATGGCGATGTCTGCGAGATAATGGATAAGCAAGCGTGGTCGTGTGACTGACTGATGGGAGGGGGGCTCACCGGCGTTGATGTAGACGACGCGGTCAGAGGGGTTGGAGGCGTCAGCGACGATCCAGGCGCGGGCGCGCTGGCGCATGTGCAGGCCGGTATCTGTCTGAGCGAGGCTGGCGTAGCCCATCATATTGGTCTCTACGACGGGGCTTCATGCAAGTCAGAATCGGTATGCTATTCCGATGGCACGGGACCACATACCCAGTGACATCCGCAACGCCTACTCTTCGTGGTCACCTACACACCGTACAAACATACACTGGTGAAACGCACTCACCGAGGCCGAGCAAATACTGCGCATTCGCGACCCCCGCATGACCTCCCCCTCCCCCAAACACACTCGCCGACGCCAAAAAGGCGGTGAAATACAAAAGAGCGTTATTCATGCAGTCGAGCAGGGAGCGGGAGACAGAGTAGAGGTCAAAGGGCAGCTGGAGGCCGCCCGGATAGAGAGCGGGCATGGTCGCCCTGGGTTATATAGGAGTGCTGCCACGGCACTGAGCAACCAGGTTCAATCGGTATCTAGTGACGAGATATGAGTCCGGCAGAAGGATGGATAGATCACGGGTCCCACCCGACGCACGCACCGAGGATATGTTTTCGCAGCAACGGGGCGCGTAAGCCTGGCAGATATGACGCGGGCGCTGGCTCGGGACTCACCTGCGATAGCACGCGTCCCAGCATGGTTGATTTAGGATGTGTTACAGGAAGCCAGAGCAAGGGAAAGCGGACCTGAGGATAAGAGCAAGCTTTGTTTCGCGTCTTCGAGGAAGAGGTGGCCCTCGTGGACACAACGTCTATAACGTTATCTGGTGACCCGAGTCCAAAACCAGACCAGACTCTGAATGGGAATTGCCGCCGCGGATCAGCTTTCTGCGTTGTACTACCACCGACGCGTTTCGGCCTACCTCTGATTTCTGGTGCTACGCCTTGAGCACTCGTAGCTTGTCGACAAGAGAGAGAGCGCAAACGACTCGGACTGCGGACGCGTACGTCGTCTACCGGCGTGGGGCTCTTAAGGCTATTTTCGGAGTGCAAGTTACCTTTCTGCTCAGCTTCGGTTCAGATTGATCCCCCTAATGGTGACCAAGAAGATGTCTGAATTGGCAAAAGTTGGCTCCTTCTCGGTACCAAAGCAGAGTACTTGTAATACCTGCCTGTGAGCATGCCCCTAGCTTTCGAAGCATCAGAAAACGCATTACTGTGAGGGGGAAGGTACGTACCTCGTTATGCGAAAGCAGGGGTGATGGAAGAAACAGACAAGTGTTTGTACGAGGTGGGCTGCCTTTTATTCAGCGGCGGATGGCGATTGACATATACCAACAGCAGCGAGTCAGACATAACCAAACTCAGTAACGACGCTTCCATTTTAGGTAATACCAATGTGGACCCGTGCGCGTTGAGGGACGCTTTCGCTCTCTCGAGTTGTTCTCGTGGTTGTTGAAAAGCAAGCCTCATGCGTAAACTTACCGGTCGCTTTGACCCGAGCTTCCATTAGGGCAGTGGATTGGGAGCTGGACAATCGATATACTCCGAATTTGTCGAAGAGGTATTAGCTCTTAGTATTCTTCGCGCTCATTGTTGTCATTCCTCGTGAAGTGACACTCCGCAGGACATGTCTGATTTTAAATCCTCCTGGCCGCCCTCGGATCCGCAATAAACGCATTCATACCTCAACTGATACCTCGAGTTAGAACCGAAATCCTGAACGCCGGGTCCGCCTGGCGGCAGCATCACACTTTCTCTCCCTTAACCTTGTGCTTATAACCCTCATAGCTTACTCACGACCGCCCTACATACCTTCCCATATTCAAATTTCCCAACGCTGGATTCTCACCGGACTGGGACATGTGATTTCATGTCGGTGACCTCGGTTGATGGTCTCTGGGTCTGGCTCCAGGTGTTGCTCGAGTATCTCCCACTCTCCTTCTTCTTATCTTCAGCTGCGTCTTCACGTACCATGAACAGGCTGGAGAATTGCCCTCCACACCTCCCTTTTGCGACTCCTGGCGCGGCGACGGACTACGCTTGGTGGCGAGGAGGAGCCTTCTCGACGGCAGCCCCGCCACAAACCGTAGCTCGTCATCATCTCAACCCTCGTCGAACAGTTCGCTCATCATGTTGTGCCACTTTCCGACAACCTTGTCAGCACGCCCAACTCTTCCCGTTTACGCTCTGGTATACAGTGTGCCGTACTGAGCCACTCTCGTCTTGCCGACATGCTCCCTTGCATGCTCACATCCAGGCCGCTGCCTGCCATTTGGACCATTTTCCGCGTGCTAGGTGACTCCTCCCTTTGCAATAATATCTGCGCTCCATATACTCGCCGTTGCACTTGAGACGAACTATGTTCGTTTTCTTGCGCCGTGACGCAGACCGTCCCCCCGCCCCCAGGGCCCTCGTGTCCATGTCTCCCGCACTCTCCGATGACCCCAGCGCCAGCGTTGACTAAGGAGTAAGCACGACCTCTCTTTTAGGCCCTCTCTTCAGACAGGTTAGTCTCTTTGAGCTGACGACCCTAACAGAGGCGTACGGATTCGCTTCTACACAAGGTATCGCGCAGCACCTCCTGTATCTGTATTCGTACATTCGACTCTGTCGATTCGTATAGACTCTACACTAGTTCCAGGAACAGATAAAGCGACCCGCGCACTCTGCCTGTTCTTTGAACTCTACACTTTAAACCCTTCACGGCCATGCCCAGGTCCATATTTCTTCCAGTCCACCCACCCTGGTGAAAACACTTTGCCGTCCTTGTCTGTACCCGCCCCGACACACTTCACACCGGAGGAAGAACACATATTCTTGCTGGTCTGATAGGTCTTGGGACGACGTACGCTGTGCAAAGGGGTTCTCATGACCCACGCACTTCACATGGTGGCACTCTGGTCGTGTACAGGTCTTCCTAGGGTTTTAAAGTCTGTTCTTGAATCATCCATCCGCTATCTGTGGCATCTAAACTCGTGCCTCATCATCATGGCAGGACCGCTGTCTCCGATCCTGGTCCTCTGCCTCCTGGTCTGAGTTCACTCTTCAAGATGGCAGCTGGTGCACTCAGCGATGAGGTCAGACAGAATAAACCACGGCACCGAGCAATTCCCTACCACGCCCTACACCTCCGATTCGCATCGTCTGCGCTGGCCTGCTCGTACCGGACGCATCGGAGTGAACGATACGCAAAGGTGAGTGTCGGACGAAGAGGTGAGTGACGTAGTACGTGACGCCGACGAGCTTGCACACGGAATGGAGCGGTACGTGTTTCACCAGTACAGCAGTCAAGGTTCCATGCAGCGAGGTCGTCGCAAGTCACTGCTGTCTTCGGGTTCGGGCCGCCAGCCCAAGAGCTCGTGGGTTCGTAGGAGCTAAGCAGACCACACAACCGCGAATCCGCACTCTGCACTCCTTGCAGCACGGAGTAACGTACCAGAACCCCTCCCCATCCCGGTTGCCGCCGGCCTCTTCAGTAGAACACCGAGCCCGAATCGCAGACAATGGACAATGTTCGGCCCCGCTGATAAGATTATGACTAGCTTCCCCCCGTCTTCCCTGCGCCGGCGCGATCGACAGGTCGGTCAATCTGACAGCGAATGCATGGGCGCGCGTTGCACTGCTACGCTCCCAGATACCGCCGGCGTATATGTGCACCAAACATTTCACCATGATGACCGATTTGTGCAGCGTCGTGGCGTCCGCAGCAAGTACCTTGATTATTTTCCGATGGGCAGGCGCACCGCATGGGCACCAGGGTCCTCCACCATAATCGCACTGCAAATCGTGATCTAACGGTAACAGCTTCTCTTGCGACTCGGACGCGGACCTGCCGATGCCCCTCGGCGATTACGAATTTCTTCACAATATGCCTTCCTGTCTTTCCTCGCCGCTGCCATTGTCCAGTCATCTCGGACCCGCTGATAAGATGAGAAACCTGCCAGTCAGAGTTCCAGTCAATGCCCAACGCCCATTGTCAAAAGAACTTGCAAACCGTCGCACCGGTCCATTTCCCCGATTCTCGATACGCGATCAACGCGCACTCGAAGCTCGAGTGAGAAGCGTATCGCCCTCGCTGTTCCTGCAGATCGTCGACACGGGACTATCAGCTTCCGCTACCATCGGTTGTTACGTCTCTGCACGGCTGGTTATGGGACTGACTCGAAGGCAGCCTTGTACCGGAGCAATCGAGTGATGCCAGTGCCTTGTATTTACCCTCGGGCTTCTCGGTCTCAGACTAGCACGTTCCTAGTAAGGTATGCAGAGTACTACACCATCCTAATTCTACCCAAACGAAACCTTGTCCGCCCTCGCTCCTCCGCGGCTTTACGTCCAATGTCGCACAAAGAGACGGTCCATCCATGAGCCGGCCAACCCTCCAAGATCCATCGCCCGCCAAATCTTCAAAATGTCGACGCAGCTACCCATCTTTGTTTCTGTCGCATGGGATATCATTGTTCAATCTCGATACACTCATCCAACGCGTGGCATCAAATCTCCTCCTTCATCGGAATCCCCCCGAGCTCTCCCTCGAACCAGGAAACAATAAGGATATACCTTACACGTACACACGAGTATATCTTTCACAAATCACAGGCTCAGGCTTCAGTGCGGGCATGACGTTAACAAACAACCACAATCCTGGGTTCCTCCAAGTACCCCGTGGGGCCCCCAAAGCGCGCAGTGCCGTCGAGCCTCCTCCCAAACATAGGTACCTCTATCTAAATATAGAATCCCCCTCCCTCTTCCCTCCTCTTCCATCCCCGGCCGTGACCTTAATCCTAACCAAAAGCCGCGAGCCCGAACCCAATCTCACACCACACCATCGGGTGATACCCAGAGGGTCCTGCGTAAGAATAGTCTAGATACCCACAATTCATTGAGATAGAACCAGATACGGAACTACCCATCTCCCCTGGTGGGGGCAGAGCGCGATGATATCAAACGTACGAACGTACTATAGAACGAAGGCCAATCCACCGATTTCTTTATTCTCTTCGTCCTTTCGAGCCAGTATATACAGAACCGCAATGACCATTACGTATTAACTGAGCACCTACTATGTACTAATCCAAGAATAAGATGAAAGCTACGCATAAGCAATACTCGAAAACAAAGGACGTAGGTATGGTTGACGACGACGAACCGTAAGCGCAAGCATGGGCGGCCCCAAAAGTCAAACAAAGTCTAAGCAGAACGCGAAATAAAGCAAAGGTCAATAGCAGTATGAATAGTGAGTACGCAGTAAAGTGGTCGAAAAAGTCCAATCCGACAGATGAGTGAAGTGGATGGTATGCAGTGTGGATGAATTAGGATGAGAAATATGGGTGGTATGAGGTGAGGGTAGTAGTGAGACAGCTATATAAAAAAGGGCTATAGATGATAAGCATGCGCATGCGATGATCAGTGATACAAAAAGCGCGGGCAAAACAACAAGACGATGGAAGATAGACAGAATCAGCACAAGCCAGACAGCAGGAGCATACGACATAGCGAAACATTCCAAAAAATACATTGTTCCTCTTCCGGCCCTTGCATGCCGACGAGCGTTATAGCCTTGTCCCAAGGATGCCCTCCAGATCGTGTGGCGAAGGGTAATTGACTTGAGCAGACCGCGGCGGAGAGAGAATCTTCAATCCCTCGTCCATGAATGCGAAATCAATAGGTGGGATGCCGCGCCCGGTCTTGAGGTCCAAGTCCTCCTGCACAGACAACTGCATCTGTATCTGCGCTTCGGCAAAGCGGTAAGGATACCCACCGCCCGGCCCTTCCCACTCCCCACCAAACTGCTGGTACCCCGGCACTCCAGGACCCGAGAAGGCGTTCATCGCAACAGGATTGGGCGTGAAGACCATATTGGCGGCATTGGAGAACGTAGCATCCACAGGGGTCACCGGTGCAGACCAGTTGGTCGGCATCTCGGGTTTCGCGTCGAGCATCAACGGCGGGAGCAGTATGTTGTTCTCTTGCGATAGCATGAGGTCGGTATGCGACGAGAGCATCTCATCGATAGCCGAAGGGTCGTAATGGAGCTGGTCGGACCCAGACGCAGGGTCGACGTCCATCCCAAAGCTGAATGCAAAGTTGGGGTCGACCTCATCGGAGATGTAGCTCGAAGCCGAGGATGCTGTTGATGGCTGGAAGCACGGCGTATTTCGTCAGCGTCATCCCTAAGCAAGAATATTGCTAGGCCACTTACGCGTCGCTCATCGCGGGGCACCGCCAGTCGAGAGCTAATATTGGTAGGCCAGATACCCGCCCCAATGCCGACATCAGCCGAAGAGTGGTAAACGAACTGATAACGCATGGAGAGCACGGCGATCTTCTCTGAGGCATCTGTGGAAACAGTTGGCTCGATGGACGGTGACCGTGAAAGCAAACGGAGATCCGGCGTCGAGGCGGACGATCCCGCAGAGGATCGGTCGCGCTTGGTCTTGACAATCTCCTGCTTGATTGTGTATTGGGTAGGGTCTAGAGACAAGAGACCGTCAGCTAATTGGTGCTGACAACGCACCATGATAGGACGTACCGGAGCTCTGACACAATCTCTCCCAGAAGAGCGGGACGAGCATGGTACGATACAAATACCTCTCCTTTGCCTCCATAGTCCCATCACCGGAGGGAGGGAGCTTCTCGACCAGTTGAAGGTTGGTGTACTCTCGATGAACCTCGCCCTGTGGCCCGCTGACAACAAATTCGCTGAGATAGCAGTAAGGTGTATCTGCCGCAACTCCCGGACCCGGTAGAGGCCAATGGGAGACGAACGTCAGCGTGTTGTCAATCTGTCTGATGGGTCGTGCAGGCCCGACAGATAGATGATTGAGCAAGTGGCCTGGCGACGGGGTCCGTATGCCAGAGGGTCCTGGTGAGGACGGCGAGACTGGGGATACGGGAGACCTGAGGGTATCGGGTGTCGAGGGCGAGGAGTGTGCCGACGAGGTCGAGATATTAGTAGGAGTGCTGTAGCCGCTGGTGTGTGGCCGGAGGATGGGTATATTGACGATGGTGGTTTCGAACGACCTATCCGAAGGACCCGGGGTATATCCTTTACCGTCCGATTCAATGGAAGAGGGTGAAGAATGCAGGGAGCTGGAGGAGCCAGGTGGATTGCGGTCTGAAAGCAGCTTGAGGACTAATAAATGCGCATATAGTCAGTAAAGGGGAGAGAGTGCAGGTCATGCGTGAGAGAGGCAGAACTGCGCTCACCCTGCTTTCCGCCCCGCGTGTCCCTCAATTGCTGGAGACGGCTCCCGACTTGTTTTGGCGTCCGATGCTTTCCTGTGGTTTTCTTGATATGCTCAGAGATAAACCTATTGCGCATGGGGAAGCGACCGCCGCCTAGGGCAGAGACCCTGAGGCCCTCCGTCTGGCGGTACTTTTGCAGTCCTAGCGTGTAATAATTAGACCAAAGAAGCAGTGACGCGTGTTCGACGCGTCAAAAGTAGGACACATGCCTTCGATGAGGGCACCCTCGAGGTAGGGTGGCCAGACGGCCTCGCTTTTGCCTCTGATGGTTTTCCAGCTTTTGCGACCGTTGACGATGGCATGGAGGGCGCTCTGGGCGAGCTCCTGGGAGTCGGGCTCGACGTCGACGTCGACGTCCACGACGGTGGCGGGGGAGAGGCGGGCGTGGTCGGGCGAGGGTTGGAAGGCCATGGCGGACGCTGTCGGGGACGACGAGGGAGGACCGAGGGCTGGTCGGCATAAAAGCGAGAAGCTGGATGGTATTTCTTATAGGCACTGGGCCGCCACGGGATCGGTGGATCGCCGGAGTGTGAAAATGCAAAGGGTGAGTTCAGTTTCGGGCTGGAAAACGGATCTTCGGTCGAAGCAACGTCAAGAAGAAGCAGCGTCGCCGGACGGTAATTACCTTGCCTCGGTCGGTGCGCCACAGCCACGGAGTCCAGCGCGTTGATTATCATTACGACCCGCGTCTGACCAATAATCGCCTTGTAATCTCCCCGACACGCGTCGTTATGTATTTTCTTGGAAATACAACGCGTAATTAAATCGAGGCCGCCGGGGCCTTTCGAGATTGCAGCCCGAGATGGTCGAATGCGTTTCAGGAAACGCGCCAGCTGAGATCTCGCAGGCCTGCTTCGATCGCTCCTCGGGGGAATCACGATTCAAACGGACTGGCGTGAAGGGCGTCGGCCGCCCCCGGACACATCCCCCGAACCCCCTTCGTTGACGCATCCGCCACGCGCGAGCCTCCCACTGGCGGCAGTTCGAACCACGGCCCTCGTCTTCCAGCGGTGATAGGGCTCTGCTACGCGCCTTCGCCTCGAAATAAACTCTGCGCCAACTCACCACCACCGCGGGGCGCCCCATCGATCCGAATAGCAGAGCCAAAAACCCAACAAGGCCATAGTACTATCCCAAACTCAGCGGCCCTGCCGGGCTCTCAGAGCTCTTTTCGTCATAAAGCAGTCAACAGAATCTCGCGATCTAGCCCCAGAAGCCTCCACCAGCAATCGGGTTCTGATATATTTCCCCACAGACATTAAAGTTTCAAGGTATTTCACTTTCTCACGCCCCGTCGGAGTGCCAACCGCTTTCCAGCGTGCCAGTGGGCCCAACCTACCGCAAACGCCTGTCGATCGTGACGCCTATGGACATCCTCGCGCCTCGTGCACGCGTTCTCTATGCCGAACAGACGCTCGCGACTTCGCTGGGTTCAGAAAACATATACGGCAGCGGGGGCTATAACGCGCGAATATCCACCACTGACTCGTTCCCTATCAGACAATATTGGCGGGCGCGGGGACCCGACCGACCGACGTCTGCTGCTCGCGATTAATGAGCGTCCCCGGTGACAGCGCCAACCATCGGTGCGGCGGGCACGGATAAGGAGATGTGAGCATCACCGCGCCCGGTATAACGCCTAGTCGCTCTTTCGGGAAACCCAGTCCCAAGCCGTCCTCCCGGGCATGCTCAGCTCAGAATCGTCATATTCGTCCTCTGACTATGCTGGGGCGTAAATCTTGTGATGAATCAGCATGCGCAATACATGCTGAAGACCACAGGTCCTTCCGCTTCTCCTCAACCCCGCGGAGCGATGCGTTGATTGCAGCGTCTATCCTACTGCACTGCATGAGAAGACACGGCGCTGGTTTTGGTTCTCTACAAAATCGCATCGCATTAATCATGCGAACCGTCGGTGGTCGATGCGCACCGACCCAGGTGAGAGCGGAACAGGTTGCGGCACCGTTCCGCTCTCGATGCAATTCACTGTAGACGATGTATGCCACATGCCGCCGCTCCCGCACTGGGACGGTCGTCTTTGTGGCCCGAAAATATGACAGACGCTGCGTGATTGCTATGCACCGCTCGGCGCTTGGTCTAACGCTGCCCACGCTCAAGCAAACAGTCTGTTCATCATACAAATACACCTGCATATGCAACACGATTGAACACGAGCGGCAAACACGGAAAAGAACATACGAACGCTTCTGGCAGGCGCCCCGCCACGGATAATCGCGAATCTGACAAAGTTGGCTTATCTAAGCGACGCTAACCTTCTTCATAATGAAAGAAGCGCGGAATCGTCGGCCCGCCCCCTCGGGAAGCCCGAGATCATGGTTCGCCTTCGTTTATGATCTTACCGTGGCTGGGATAACGGCACATCCATCGATAGCAAAGTACATGGCAGCCTAGCCAACTACTCCCCAGGAATAATAGCGCGAACGGCATCGCGTAATAGTCTTATTTTCTGAACATCTCTTCGGGCAACGAACCTCCACTAAACCTTCGATAGAAATAAGGAAACGATATACTTACTCTGGGAGATGACAGCGACGGCAAAGCCGGCATCGACGCGCTACTGACGGGGCAATCGACCTCGTACGCGCGATCTCCTTACTTCACCCGACCTTCCAGCCACGAGAAGCACGGTATATCCAAGTGTAATACACTGGAGTCTGGAGAGCTTTCCCCCGCTCCCTCTCGTCTCCAGAGCCTTGGGACCCGAAACGGACAACAAAGGGCATCGCGCACCTCAAAACGTGTTTCTCTGACCAAGTGGAGCGGAAGCCGTTGACTAGCTCAAACCCCGATAGTGACTTTAGGCACTCCTTACCACGTTTTCGTGGAGGGAGGTATAAACTCTCCGCGGAACTCGAGTGACCGGGAAAGAACGACCCCGCCAGAGCGATGGTATCCATGTGGCTTTGTGGTGGCGAGACGGGCCTCGTGGGAAACCCGCAGTCCTGGTGGCACGGAATCGAAGAGACACGAGGCTATCGACCACTGATCTCCCCTTTGGCTTTGTGGGTGCGCACACCGGGCATCATGTCAGCCTGGATTGTCGTCACAAAAGGGCGATGCGCCTACCCCGCGGCCGGCGTCCACTCGCACGTCGTCCACAATCATGATCTTTGTCAATCGAAGGTGCCTGCCTGGATCTCTGACAGGAGGAACGGAAGCCGGAAATGAGGCTACCGACCGCATTCGGGTCCTCCAGGCCAGCAGCCGCTGCACGGTCCCGCTCGCACTGACTCTGCTGATAGGATATGTCCGAGGCAGCAGGCTCGCATGGAAGATAATACTGTCAACGGGCCTGATGGGTTTCCTGCTGCGGGGGGATGCTCGGGGCTGCAAATGCCTGCATTGCTGCGCACCCCGCTCGGCGGTGCCTCGAATGTCGACGTGCCACAAGCGCATCGGACAGAGGTTAGAGAGGGCAGGTGAAGGGCGCCCATGCATAGTATCGCGTACCGGGACCTGTAGACGGTGATTACTAGAACACCGCCAGAGTCGGGAATCATGAAGCGAGATAGGGGGGAGCGGGCTCAGATACGACGGCGGGGTGCCACAAGACAGACAAGTATGGAGCCTGCCCGGACACAGCCGCTGTAATAGGAGAGCGTCCTGAGAGCGGCTTCCCCGTTCTCTTCCTGAGTCGCAAACGTATTCAGAACGAGACAGGTCCTTGATGATGGGATCCAAGGTGATGTATTCTGCCCGAGGAGAGTGCTGCCGGCAGCTGCGGAGAACGCGGCTTGCCTGGAACCTGCTCGTGGTGAGTTAGAGCTCGTCTTCCCGTAGACGCCAACCGCGAATGTCAAGAGGCGGCGGTGACGGGACAGATAGGCACCTCCAAAGACATTCTGAGCGATAGACAGGGAATTCCGTGGCGGCATTGGAGAGCACGTTCGTCGTCCTGAGCCACGAATTCCATGAGTAAAGTATAGGTACTCATACTTACTGAGAGGAGATTTGCTGCGGTCGTCATACGGATCCACAGTATTGCGGAGACATAGGAAAGACAAGCCACCATCAGGAGCCAAAAAATTTCAGTCGCTGAATTTGAGCCAGGATCCAGGCATAAAGAGGCACGGGCCAGCCCCATGGGCTCCTTCACAACATCGAACCCGACTTTCCACGGCAATAGAGGAGGGTGTTGTCTAAGCTGTCTCATCTGGTATAGAAGACACGGTGTAGCTCGAAAGACGGCCAAGTTGACGGAAAGTGCGTACGCCGCTCCTCTGGATGTACGAGCTGCAGATCCATTCTGAAACAGCCGCCCTCCCCGGAAGACTTGGACAGGTGTCGTGTCTTGAAGTGAAGAACGAACCGCCAGGCGCAGTTAGAAAAAGTTAAAAACGGCGAAGAAAGAGAGCTGCTTACCTTGGCGGACAGTATCAGCAACCTTCGGTCGTCGCAAATCCACCGACCATATGGTAATTCAATAGGAGATAGTAGAGTAAGCAAGGTGACAGCCCAGCTAGACCCGACAGTCGCAAAACTGCTGCTGTAAGGCGACTGTTGACAGAGCATTTACTGCTTTATTGTGGCTCACCGTCGCAACACTGTGGACTAGGAAGGAATCTTCGTTACGCTCCACAGAAATTGTCCTAGGGTTATCTGACCCCATCTCGTTAACGGGAACCCAAACGGCTCGCTGTAGACACATCGTTGTTGTTTTAATCCGTTCACCAATGAGCATCTCATCGTCATCGCCAGTTGTAGAATAATGGACATGCGAGACACCCAAGCAGAGCATCAAAATCAGCTAACTTTCCCCGCTTTACTTGAGATGCGCTAAGGCACAACTGAAGGGCTCGAGGAAGATATAGTCTTACTAAGGAGCCCGCATATCAAGAGCCACATGGACGTACCGAGCAGGATCTCCTGGGATACGGATGCTACGTGATGCATCTGACGGCTTATTCGGCTCAAGATACCATGGGATATATTCGGTCGATAAATCTAGCAAATGCACCTACAAAGTAGTGGAGGCGGCCCAACCTCGGGCAGAGCCTGAAATAAGCGGATGCAGTAGACAGAGTGGAGTTAAGAGTGAGTTGACATTGCGCAGTCGGGGAGCAGATATTGCAGTGGGCACACAGTGGCGGTCTGAATAAAAAGATACGACCCAGAGCGCCCTGGTGATACTTCATTGAACTGCTGCACCCTCAGGTAGGACTCACCACGAATACAGATTAAAGACAACCCTGAGGGCATTCACGCAGCCACCGATGGAGATCTTCAGAGCTATCAGTATCAAACCATCGCGACAGCTCCCGGAAATTGTCGACTTACCTGAGTGTAGATATAGAGTTACCCCCTGCTATCCTTACACTGTCGTTAATATCGACCGGGATGCTATACGCATGCGTACCTTCTGTATACGGAGTCTTCAAGCGACTTGCGTGGGGCTTTGGATAACTTGTCTTCTAGCACACCGAAGCGTGGTATCACCGGGCAAACCTTGACCCTGGCATATCACCGCCAAGGCCGAGACAACCACGCGCAACACACCAAAATGCTATTTTCGCCAGGAGACCACCTGCCTCTGCTGGCTGCTCTGTGCCGGGAGTAGAACTTTTGGAATCCACTGCTGAGACTACAGTTGCTATATGTCGAAAAGTGGCACAGATTCAAGTTGTAGATACTGCTCGATGTGTGGCGTAACCATAAGTCACGGTGTATGACGAAGAGAGGTGTGTGGGCGCGAATACCCTAATTTGGTAAATGTGGCATCTACCACGGTTTCACAACTACAATCCACAATTGCAGCGCGATGGACTCGAAAGTGATTCACTAATTAGGTTTATGTCAGTCTTTACAGCCCAAGCTTCGTTCCGTCTCAACTCTGCACTCTGCCGTCGGCTCTGCCAGTGCCGCCTCTGCGTCGCTGCAAAGCGCTCGAGTACTCAGGCTAGTGAGCGCCTGTCTTATCGTAGTTATATCGGTGCAAAGGCCGCGACGTTCAGCCCCTCCTCATGTTGCAGATCCGCGAATACGAAGCGCGGCACCAGCTGTACTATTCTATGTTCGGGAAGGACGGAAGACAAATTTCGATCTCACGATTCATCCATGGCCAAAACAGCAACCAATCCGTGCCCCAGCTTTAAGATAATTGTCGGTTTGAACCTCCATGCAGAGTAACAGAAGTCGTTTTACCAGAGAAGCTAGTGTCTTCTCTTGAGACGACACTGTTCGAAGCACGTTTGAATGGGAACGCAATATCTCAGGGCTATAACCAAATACCGCATTCACATCCGCAGCACCTAAAGGTGGTCAGGAAGGAGAAATGCAATATATCAGCGATTGCGCGCAGGACATATTCTGCAGTTCTCTGACCATCCGTATTCTTCCTTTGATAGATGAGCCGAGGTAGGCAGAAGACAGAACGGTGCAGTTGAAAATAGCGGGCGGACCCAAGGAAACGGTGACGCTTGAACGCCAGTCGGATTGATCGTGGAAGTGCCAGTGATCGCTGGCTTTTACTAGGCACGTCAATGGGCGTTTTGTGAACTTCAGCGCTGCTTCGTCTGAGCCAGTCCACCTGTACTCGTGGCCATTATCGTCCAACAAGGTGTGCATGATATGTGGTAAGGCACTCTGGCCCTTTCATTGACGTCGTTCATCGAACACAACCATGAGTGGCAGGCCTTGTCCCTGCATCACATCTTACCACGGGCACCAAGAGAAATCCTGCTCGAACGCTCACCTCGTGCAGAACTTGTACAGGTCCTGTAAAGGATCTATTGAGGCACTCCTGACGCTATTAAAAGCCACGAGCAGACACCGCGAGACGAGAAGCGGAAAGCGGGAAGCGGAGTACTCTCGGATCGAGTCCTAACGTTATAGCATCAAAGATCTCTGAGCGTTACGGCAGGCCACACAACTGGGCGTATCACAGATCCTGATTCCTGAGGCTTTCTGGAAATTCAGCAGGGTGGAAATTCGGGCGCGATGTAGAAACGAACAAAGTCTGCACAGCGGGGATATAACGACAGTCCAACATAACGCGACGACATCGTGGAATTGAGGCGGCCCCTATACGATAATTGACAGTCATTGTACGTGACCAGCCTCTGCACATCAATGAATGACGCATCGTTCGGTTGAGGACTTGCCCTTGCCTCATTCGCTGTGGCGAGGCCTGGCTGTCTCGATAGAAGGCAAGGTGTAAGTGCCAAACCTGGAGCACGAACACGGAACGGGGGACATCCTGATGATGATTGAGAAGCAAATTAAATCGAAACAGGCATCGACGAAGGTAAATTACCGAGTCAGTATCGTAGGCCAAACTCTCTGCGCCCGACATTCGGCAACCTCGCCATGCGTCTGGAGGACCGGAGTGCCATTGAGCTCCCACCAGGAAGGAAGACTATATCAGTAGAACTAACCTGCCGAAGGTTTCCAAACCCTCCAAGTCAATAGATGGAAGACAAAGCAGTCATGAGTTAGCAGCGGCAGCCGGTTTTGATGGATACAGCTGGTAGGCGATTCCACGCGGGAAGTAAGAAATTACTAAGTGCCGATTCTTTTCTACCCTACAAGTCTGGCGATCAGACCAGCGGTCACTAGAAAGACAAAAGAACACGGACCCGGACCATCCAGCTCGTGGGCTGCTGTCTCTTGTCCCCGTATGGATGTGGACTGATATGTGAGAACGTCGTGAATGGTGACTTCGGAGGTACAAGGCAGAGTCCTATAGGCACTGCGTATCGACGACAGCCTGGAGCAGCGGGCAACAGATACCAAGTTCGGAAGGCAATAATGGGATGATGCGTAATACCATTTTAAGTGAAAATTTGGGAGCATAATATTCTTGATTTTGCGGCCGATAATTTGCAAGCTCCAGAGAGTGCCCAGGCGTCGTGTACGTCGGTGTGAGGTGATGGACTACTGACGCTGACGTATGAGTACTCCGCGGGTCTACCGCGGGCTGGTTGGATTCAAATCGCCATCATATTCGACCTTGTCATTACCTCCGATGACCTCTTGGAGCGCTGCTAACGATGATACTGCGCCGAATCGGCTGCTCCCCGTCGAAACCGGACCCAGAGATACTAGAGGCGAGGTGGGATCGTGACAAAGTAAGGAGGAAGCAGGCGAGACTTCCATGCGTGACGACGGCAGAAACCCGCTTATCGACGATGGGCGTGGTAGTCGGTCAGGACGGCATCCTCGCTGTAAGTTACCATAGCTAGGGATCTGCTGTACAGCGACGAGGTCGGAACGGTCAAAAGAGGGGCTGAGATTGCTAGACTGATTGCACACGGCGGCGAGACAGGCGTCACGGTTCGTTTTACGAACAAGAAATTTGACATAATTGCTGAGAGGAAGCCTCGGTGGGAAGTATCACATCCAGATGTGGCATTGACATGGCCGCTTGGTTCCTTCCGCATCGGCGGATACCAGCCATGTTTTCCATGAGTGTGGATCTGTCAAGACCCTGGACGATGAGCATCAAGGAGAAGGAAATTTTATGGGCAGCTTCCCTGAAGATTTAGGCAGTGCGTCTGACTGTGTAGAGTGGAGCCACCGCTCGAAGAACCAGACTTCTGGTTACTTACGTGCACAGAAATTCAGAAGGGGCCATGCTTCGGTTTAGGGTGAGTCCACGGACGGTCCCCCGTTCCAAATTACACATGTTCGGCCAGGTGAGCGGATCCGGAGGGTCGGCGACCTTATCTTGCTTGGGTCATGAACTGAGCGCTTGCGTTTCACCTCCCCACGTACGCAAGCGACGGTCAGGAAAGCACCGCCGTCCCGAAGCTAGCATTGCCTCCCTCATGGCCTGCTAGGATCATGGTCAGCTTGCTATGTTCTAGCACAGACGCGGCCGACTCCATGGTGCAAGAACAGAGGTGTGCCCGGCTATAAGGCAGCCTTCAAATGTGGTCAATGCGTTAAGGAATGCGGCGGCGAACGGGAATCAGCAAGTAGTAGAAGGCCCTGTGCTGCTAGTCAACAAGGTCAGTCCCTGATTCTACTTCATCAGACATCATAACGATCACCGTCATTATATTTTCATGAAGCCCGTCAAGGCTATGATATATTGCACTCTTTCGTGGCTTGCCGAACATGAACAAACGAGCGCCTCAATCCGGTTGGCCGATGGACAACTCGCACCGAATTACTTGCGTCCACACTGCTCCGGAGGCGAATTTTGCGCTGTGGCGCGGTTGTGTCCACGCGCCGTCGCGGGCTCGATTGCATCTGGACCGTCCAATCCGCGAGTTCATTTGCTTTGTCCTGCCTACGAAGGCTCCGAAGCAGCACGGCCACTGCCATGGAGTACTGGAGAACGATCTTTCCCTACGCCGAACATGGGGTCAGTCTTGCATATGCATATTCACAAGTTTGATGGCATTCTCGCAACCTTTTCGCCCTCAACAACTTTCTAATAGCCTCTTAATCCGGAATTTCCCTAACCTTGCTGAGCGCAGCATCGGCCTCAGTGCGCATGCGACCGGTATGTTCGACCGTTCGGTCCTGATCAGCACTCTGGATACGGTCTTGAGGGCGCAGTTTTGCACGAATCGTCAAGGTACATTGCATCCAGTCAGCGAAGGGCAACGTTGAAAGGTCTAGCAAACCTGGATTCAGATGTTCCTGCTTCGCCCACGCGGAGGCAGCTCTAGCGTCGCAATAAGACACTCGTCTCAGGGTCGCCGGTGCCGGACCATCTCGTACCTGACCGGTTCCTAACCAGCGCCACCACTACAATATCCCACTCGCGTAACGATATATGAATGCTCTAGGAAACATACAGACGTGTATTATAAGTTAGGGTCCTATTGGCTCATAGTACGGACTCCCGAAAGCCCGGAGAGCCAGTAAGGCCTGTCTCAAACGCCAGACAGATCTGGGTCGCATATCCAGCAACACTAAATGATATGATGTGTTTGTCCGATGCTAAGGAGCGGAAAGGTATCATAGGTAACTCATCCCCAAAGAAAACCGTATGTCCGCCCTCATGGCCTAGGCGCAACAGTGACAATTGCCTCAGCTGCGCCCCCACCCGTACACACCGCAGTCGGCATCGGGGCATTCGCCGCGCTCCAAGGATTCAAGTACGTGCACCCCTCAATCGCCGTCGGTGCCGCGCCCGTGTCGCTGGCATCATACCATCCATCACCCTCCGACACCGTAATCTTATTCGTGAACGTCGGCATCGACAGCGTAACGACCGAGCCGGTGCTCGTATATACCGGCAGCAGCGACACGCCGTTCGGGTCGGGTATGCCTGAGAGCGACGGCGGCGGGTATTGCGAGAACGAAGCTAGTGCAGTGGCGGCGATGGTTCCGGCGCCTGAGCCACCAGTCTGCCATGACTGGAAGGAACCATTGAAGACGGGCCCGCTGACAGACAGAGAGGCGCAAGTGCCGACTGCTTCTCGAGGATCAGTTGGTATCCAACCGCCCTCAAGGCCGAGCTGGTAGGACCACAAAGGTGCTTGCACAGTGTTGGTCGTGGAGGAATTGCCAATCTACAGTCACACATGTCAGTAACGGCATCCTATATCTCCGAACCATATGACCGACCTTCCACGTCCAAAAGAACCAATTCTGCAACGCATCCATGGTAGCCATCGCAAACATCTTCAAGCCATCCTTCATCGTCTGGTTCCACTGACTCGCATCCTCAAAGATACTACAATCGCCCACATACTTCGGCGCAATGTTCACACCCTCTACGAACAAACCACAATCATTATATCCGACACTCCACTCGCCCGCTACGGTAACGCCAAAGGCTTCCTGGCTCTGGTTCATATTGGGACCCCAGCCATTGCACGCCTGCTGAGGCCAGACGCCGCCGACATTCGGGTCAGTGGTGGCGATGGGCGCGTTGTTCGGAGCGCCGTCGAATGCGAAATACGGGTGAGTGTCGAGGATGATGCGGTCAGACCCGGGGAGGAAATCAGCCCAGGCATTGTCGGCAATGAAACCATCGTGAATAGCGATGTAAGGCCCGTTGCCGGCACCATAACCTGCAAGTCCTCTGATCATGTCGTGGGCCTGCAGATAGCTGCATTCTGCCATCAGCCCAAGCGTCTTTTGCCGTACATGTTAACCGAGATTACTTACAACCGCGTCAAAGTGTCCTGGCCGATCTGTGTGAGCAGTGGCTCGTTCACGATCCCAAATATCGGCACGACGTTCTTGTACTCGGGTTGCGAGATGAACTCTGCGATGATCCTGATGTAATCCATCGTCCGCTGGGCGTTGGCAATACCCATCACGCCGAATAAAAAGTTGACTTCGCCAAATCTTCCGGAATGGTTGTACCCTGTATAACGACCCGTCAGAAAGATGATACAAATTGCTCCAGCTGCCAGATGCTCTTGCTAACCATTCTGGGACCCAGGAACCGTGTGAAGGTCAAGGTAGATCCTCAAACCGTACTTTCTTGCCCATTCGAACATACGCAGTATATACCTTGTAGCAAAGCCCATCAATGATCAAATCTATCACCTGAGCACGCTGGCAAACTTACTTCCACGCAACACCCTCAAGGAACGGTTCGCCCTCCCATGTCTCGATGGCCCAGTACGGGATGGGCACGCGGATCCAATTCAGACCTGCGCCCGCGATCTGCGCGAAGTCCTCTTCGGTCTGCACATCAAACCAAGAATCAGCAATCACGCCCATCGGATACTTGGCTGTCGAGCAGTCTCACAATGAACGTGTTATAATGTTCTTCGATCTGGCCAATACCCCCACCCTCGCTGGTATCGTTCCGCATCGCCTCGCTCAGGGTCCACTCGTCGATCGCGCCGGGGTACTTCTGGTACAGTGCGGGCGTGATGAACGGCTCGAGAACAAACCACCCGCCAAGGTTGACACCATACAACTTATCCTGGCCCCATGTCCAACTGGTGTTGAGTGGTGGAGTCCAAGAGTTCGGGTACGCGTTGTCATTGAAGGGGTCATTTGGATCATACACCCCTGGATTGCATGAGTGCAGGACGATAAACAGAGGAAGCACACTCACAAATGCCTCCATACGGATTCTTGTATGTGAATGTACCATTCGGCGTGACAATCTGACTGCCGTCCCCACCAGTCGTGGCGCCATTTGGACTTTCCGGATTCCCCTTCGCAGGCTTCCCGCTTCCGCCAGAGCCCCCGCTCCCACCATCTTTCTTATCAGCAACCAGCACCACGGGCAAGACAATTACTAGTACGATGGCCGCGATCGCGAATAGTGACAAGGGAATGATCCACCTCAGCCTTCTCCGCCAGACGGCCCTCCTGTCCGGGGGCGCAACACCTGCCTCCTTCGCGGCCACGCCGTCAGCAGCAGCAGCCAGAGCCGCGTTGGAGGTAGCAGCAGAACCTGCTCCTGATGCTGCTTTTTCGTCGGCCAAGAGCGCGCCGCTCTCCGCAGGCGTGCCGGGTGCCCCGTTGAAGCCCAGCGGCGTGGCGGCGTACGAGTCTCGTGGGGTGCCTATCGTCGGTTGAATGGAGGGTGCGCTGTTGTTGGGACCGGAAGACATGAAGGGCGCCTGCGGGGGCTGGGGGGCGGGCTCGTTCTCCAACGACGCGCTGACGGAGTGGTCCTGCGCAGGCACCTCTCCCGCAGGTGTGGTCGGCGCCGTCGTGAAGGGGTCGGGGGTGGGTAGGGGCGGATGTTCCTCCGACATGGTGGGACGAGGGCAGGACGGGAGGGGTTAGGCTGTGATAAACAAGGGGTTGAGTATATTAAGAGCACAACGCGAGGAATCGAAGTCACGCGAGAAGGAGCGAAAGAAGGGTCGCACGGGGCAGACTACAGCCGCGCTATACTTAACACCAGCGCACGGTTGGGTACCACGTTTCAACGTTGCGCAGTCAGCAAGGAACGGCGCTGGCGTAGGAGAAAGCAGAAAGGAGAGGAATGTAGTGGACACTGCGCAAGCAAGCTTATGATGGGCGTGACGGACCCCCGAACTGATACACCTCGCTTGCACTCTGCCAAATCCAGGAAATTCCAGGGCAACTCGCCTCCTCATATTCCGTCAAAGTGGGGTATCTCCGTCCTTACCAGACACGAACGAGCCAGCAAGCATTCATAAGTCCACCTCTCAGCAGTCATGCAGCATAAACCGGCGGAACATGTGCAACATGGCGTCCACCCGCCGACCTCCAGTCCCATCAAATCTCGCTTGTGTGCGCCACGACACGAAGATGAAGTCTCGCTCACCTGGATCTGGCAGATTCCCGATTTCTCCAGAGTCAAAACCGAGACCGTGCTGAGGGACAGCTCGATAACGTCGCCGTCGCCGTCGTCGTCGTCGAGGGAAAGACAGCGCGCAAGGCACTTTCAGCACAAGCATTTTATGCACAACAGTCGAGTAAACAATGACGTCCTGCCTTCCTGCCTTCGGGATAGGACCCCGGACTCTGAGCCAATTGTAATAGTGGCATTCATCAGCAAAACGGCGGATATCGCTAAGTCGATATAAGTACAAATTAAGGCCTACAATGGGTAATACAGGAATCCTTGATCCATGGGGGCCCCCTTTCGGGATTAAGCACCGCTACCTTAGTACAGACTTAAGTTGCGTCAGACCTCAGCGTGCAATCTATCAAGTGCATCAAGTCATGCCCGCATAAGGCCTCAGACCGGCTAAGGGCTAAGTTACGGAGCATTTTACACCCAAGTTGAGACTAAGGGTATAATATTGATAGCAGGCCTCGTGCTGACTTGAAGGACTCAGACCAGGTAAGGGCCTAAGAGTACCATATGATCCATTACTCATTAACAAGAGTTGTATCCTAAAGTAAACTAGAGACCTGCTCAACAAACAGCGAGAAACAGCAGACACATAGGGAAGGCTGGGCATATGGGCATAGCGGAGAGAGCAACAGAGAAGATCCCAAGGTGCATTACGG